TGTGCAATAAGTATAATGTACAGCAGATCATCCTATATATGTTATGGGTGTTCTGTTATTTATTTACATATTATTCTAGGGTGTAGCAATGTGTATTTATGATTCCCCTATAAACTAATGTGTGTCTGTTACAGCATGTCCTTTAATGTTACACCCAATAAATTCCTGTCCTAGTAAAAAGGCTTATCACTATATAAATCAACAAGAACTGTTAGTAGGACTGCACACTTGACTATTCCCATGCCTTGATAATAAAACAAAAATTTGGATAATGTAAAATTTTCAAAGTCCAAAAGGGGCCATAATTCTGTCAAAATCTATGGTAGAGTTATGGGCTCTTAAATAATTGTGTGAAGTTTCAACACATTCCTTTCAGGAGTTTTAGAGATACCAACACTGACTGATTGAACATACTTATAACAGCAACAATACCAAGTGTTAAGATTAACCTTAAATGTGTGCTTCAATTAAAATTTTGTTTGATGCACCAACACAATGTTTGGTCATAGATGATTCTGGCTACCTTCAGGTTTTACAAACTTAAAGCAACACCAGGGGTCAAAACCACTTCATCTCCTGGAGCTAAGAGATGCATAAACTCCAGTAATTAGAACGCCTCTGGATTCTGATGCCTCAACTCATAAAGGCAACCCCTCAGCCACAAGGGGATCAATGTAAATAAGGGGTAGTTATTATATTGTACAATGGTCATACATACATTATATCATTATGAGTAATTATACAAGGGATGAAATTTCTCCATCTTAATATACATTATCTGTATCCTAAACTGGATGAATTAAAAATGTTGTTGCATACTCATTCTTATCTAGACATTATTGGACTTTGTGAAACATTTTTAAATGACAGCTTCTCAGATAATGAATTCCAGTTTAAAGGATATCAAATGTTTCGAATGGACAGGAAAACAAATGGGGGTGGACTTATATTATATGTTAATGAAAATTTTTCTTGTTTTCCGCGGAGTGATTTACAAAAAGAGAACATTGAAGCCATCTGGCTTGAAATCAAGAACAATCAACAAAAAACGTTTATATTAGGATATATTTACAGACCCCCATCATCACCTGCAAACTGGAACTTGGATTTAGAACAAATATTAGATAAGATATATATTGAAAACAAGGAAATTATTTTAACTGGAGATTTCAACTATAATTATGATCCACTAACACTATCTACTAACAACACTTGTTGGAATAATATTACTAACAGTTTCAACTTAAAGCAGGTTGTTGAAGAACCCACCAGAGTAACTAAAACATCAAAGACCATAATAGATCACCTATATACAAATTTCCCTCATAATATTTCTGAAATTACTATCCCTCAGTTGTCAATAAGTGATCATTTTCCAATTTGTTTCACACGCAAAATTTCAAATACAATTACAAAAAAGTCTTTACATCAGATAATACAGTACCGAAATGTTAAAAAATTTGATGAGAAAGAATTTCTTGAATCTCTGGAACAACAACCTTGGTCATTGATAGAAATATTTGAAGATCCAAATGATGCCTTGGATTGTTTCAACTCTTTATTTAGTCAGGTATTAAATGAACATGCCCCTCTAAAACGAAAACGTGTAAAACACACACATCTTCCAGACTGGTACAATCCTGATATTCTTCATGCCTCTAAACAAAGAGATAAAGCTAAAAAAATAAATAATAATGAAGATTATAAGTATTGGAGAAACAAAGTTAAAAACCTGATTTCTAGTTCTAAGAAAAGTTACTACTCAGAAACAATAAATAACAATAAAAACAATGCTAAAGAAATGTGGAAAAATCTCAAACAATTATCAGGGAAATCTTCTAATCACCAGACAAGTTATATTCAAGATGAAGATGGAAATAAAATTACAGACCCACTAAAAACAGCTGAAGTTTTCAATAACTATTTCATTGATATTTTTAAATCTGCTCCAGCAAATTGTTCAAATTTATTACAAGAAGATGAAATAAAACTGCATGAGTTTATTGAAATGCATTCAAAGACTGATTCTCCATTTACAATACCAGAAATTACTGAACAATTCATAATCAAAGAACTTCAATCTCTTGATTTCAAAAAATCAACTGGTCTAGATGGTATAGGACCTAAATTTCTTAAAATGAGTTCTAAAATTATTTCCAAACCCTTAGAAAAGATATTTAATCTCAGTATATCAAATGGCATATTTCCTTCAATATTTAAAAAAGCAAAAGTTACACCTATACATAAGAAAGGCAACAAGAATGAAGTAAGCAATTACAGACCAATTTCAATACTACCAGTCCTGTCAAAAATTCTAGAAAGACATGTTAGTGATCACCTAAAATCATTTCTTGAAGCTAACTCTCTTTTTCAACCAAATCAATCTGGCTTTCGCACAAATTATTCTTGTGAAACGGCTCTAACTTCAATTGTTGACAACTGGATTAAAGCAATAAATGAAGAGAAACTTATAGGGACAATATTTCTTGACCTTACAAAAGCATTTGACTTAATCAATCATGAATTGTTATTAAAAAAACTAAAATTGTATAAAATAGATAAAAATTCAATTTCTTGGTTCAGATCATATTTAAGTAATCGTTCACAACAAGTTATGTGTGTCAGGAAAATACTCTAATGCTCAAGATGTTTACATCTGGTGTACCTCAAGGCTCAGTTTTAGGCCCTCTTCTTTTCATTATTTACATAAATGACATGCCTTTGCACTTATCACATTCCATTTCAAATATGTTTGCTGATGACACTTCCATTACAGTATTTGACAAGCTATCAATTCAATCTGTATAAATCTTCAGTCTGACCTTGACTCTATTCAACAATGGTGTACCAGACATTCAATGATTCCAAATGCCAAAAAAACCAAAGCAATGATTATTTCCCCTTCACATAATATCTACAATATCATCAATAATTCTAGTGATTTCAACATCACTCTGCAAGATGAAAGCATTCAATTCTCAGAAACAGAAAAAACTTTTAGGAGTCCATGTTGATCATACACTTAATTGGAAAACACATGTCAAGATGACGCTGAATAAATGCAATTCCTTACTATAATCTACTTCTGAGAATTAAACCATTTCTAAATCTTCAAGTTAGGAAAATGTTCTTTAATGCATACATTCTTCCTCATTTAGACTATTGTTGCACTATTTGGGGTAATTGCAGTAAGGAACTCTTAAACGACATGTATAAATTTCAAAAACGTGCAGCAAGAATAATACTTGATAAAGATTTTGATGCGCCTACTGATGAGTTATTTTCTGAATTGAACTGGATGAAATTCTCTGATAGAGTGAATTATAAAAAAGGCCATTTTAGTATACAAGTCCCTAAACAATCTTCTCCCTGATTATATGCAAAATCTTTTTACAAATACAGAAAATAAATCATTAAGATCATATGAACAAAAACTTCTTTTAGTCCCCAAACCAAGAATTGAATTCTGCAGAAAATCCCTATATATTCAGGCTCAAAATTTTGGAACTCCCCCCTTTAAACATAAGAAATTCTTCCAACTTACAAACATTCAAAATAAATTATCTTAAATGGTGGTTCTCTGGTGGGCACCAAATAATCTAGCTATGTTTTAATATCACATAATATACATGTATGTCTCATAAAATGTACAATTTCATACTTTCAAATGTTTGTATTCATTTTCTTATTGCATTTTTCAATTACTCAACTTTTCTTTGTTGTATAACTTGTATACATTTAGTTTTCTTTCTTTGTTTATATAAGTCTTTGTTTGTAACTGTATATATGTACATTTTTTGATAGAGGCTCATAGGGAAGACTGGGCTTGCCTAACTATGTTGCCTCTTTAAATAAAGTCTTTATTATTATTATTATTATTATTATTATTAAGGTATGAAGGTCTTACATCAGTTGAAGTTTCAAGCAGAACTTAAAGAATGTCACTTGTATTAACACTCATGAATATAATATGATAACAGAATAAAAATATTCTACAGCTATTTTCTGTAGGTTTGGAAATGATTTCACTTGTTCCCCACTTGCTGTCAGTAAAATATACTGACAAATTTACTTTCATTCTATGTATTCTGTTACCATTTTAATCACAATATACAAACCACAGATACCAGAATATAGCTTTATAAATATATGCTACCTGTATACCGTATAAAACTGCAAACTGGTTACAAACAAATCCTGGGTTGCACCAGCTAATGCTGGGGTGAACCAGTTAATGCTGAGGTAAACAAACTAATGCTGGGGTGAACCAGTTAATGCTGTGGTAAACCAGTTAATGCTAAGATGAACCAACTAATGCTGGGGTGAACCAGTTAATGATGGGATGAACCAGTTAATGCTGGGATGAAAAAAACTAATGCTGGGGTGAACCAGTTGATGCTGGGGTTAACAAATAATGATGGGATGAACCAGTTAATAATGTTGTGTACAAGTAAATGATGGGATGAACCAACTAATGCTGGGGTAAACCAGTTAATGATGGGATGAACCAGTTAATGATGGGATGAACCAGTTAATGATGGAATGAACAAACTAATGCTTGGGTGAACCAGTTTATGCTGAGTTAACAAATAATACTTGGTGAACCAGTAAATACTTTGGTGGACCAGTTTAATGATGTGGTGCATCAGTTATAATCTGATAATTATAACTTGGGTGAACCAGCTAATGCTGGGTGAACCAGTTAATGTTTAGGGTGAAATATGTAGAATGCCTGACTTGAACTTTGTTTGACAGCAGAAAAATAAATTTTTGAATCAATTTAATACTTAAATTTTTTTTATTATTATTAAAAGTAAGCAGCTTTCATTATTTTTATAGAAAAATTTAAAAAAGAAACGAACATTTTTGAGATCAGTATCAAAGTACAAAGCCAGCATTACTAATAAAATGACTATAGAGGCCTTATCCTGAACAAAAAAAAATCATCTGAATTGATAGGTCCTCTTCAAGAACACATAGTTTTAATAAATAACATTTCTTGTTTAGTTATTGGTTACGTAATTTCTTATCATTACGTCCCATTTTTGAGGGTGTGTGGTGGGGCCTTAAGATAAAGCACTTATTCAAGCATGTCTTATTTAAACAGTATTTAATCATGTCACAACGGCTAAGGGAAGATGAAACGAATTTAAACCCCAAACTTTGAAATTAGGAGTCAAGCACTGCACCACTCTTAATCAGATAAAAAATTAAAAAACACAGACAAACATCCTATAAAAAAAAATACCTGAGATTTATTGATTGACAATTCTATTAATCACATTTTTTGGATACGTAATTTAAAACAGGATATGTCTTGAGGATTCAATCTCAACAAAATTTGAAAATAAAATAACTTACCTAGACAGTGAGCAAGAGAAAAAGGACAACTTGAAAGCCAAATAAGAAAAATTCAAAGCTAAAACAACAAAAAAAACTTACTGTATTTCACAATGTAGCAGATATTGAAGAATCCAACAATATGACTGTGATCCAATAAAATTTCAGCCTGAATTTAAACAAAAGTTCACCCCCAATTTCTTACGTCATATCCTAAACAATTTAGTTCCATGTAAATATATATATGGAGAAAAATAATACAAAGTTTCATTGTACACAAATGGATTATTCTTAAAATCCTCCAGGGCAATTCCATGTCCTTTCTTCTCCACACAATAAAGAAGTGTGATGCATTTACAGCACATTGAAATTTTAAGCCCACAGGGTCACTGCATTATCTCAAAGACAATGTAAATAAAAGCCATTATCTAAAAGTAATTTACACCACCCTTTATTTCTTTGAAGTCAGTAAAAGGAAATCAGCGTATATCACTAATGCATAACAATAAAAACTGTAAAATCTCTGTCAGCAGAGGCTATTAAATATGTTAACCACATGATTACTGACATTAATAATTTAATTTACCGGTACATTGTGTTTTAGTGTCTTGTTGAATTATCTCCCTTTAAATCATTCTATTTATAGATTCATATTGATACATATACTTGTAATTAATATGTTACTTGTAAGGCATTCATAGTCTATAATGATGTTTCTTAAAAAAAAAAACATATAAAATAAAAACAAAAAAAATGACCTGAAGGATAGTTAGAACAGCTAAAGTGGTGATCTAAGGATCTCTAGCTGCATGGGTTCAAACCCCATCAGGGGCAAGCCTTTTGTTTCTCATTGCTTGGTTCAAATTTGCACAATGGAATTAATTATCTCTGGGAACAAACTTAAAGCAACACCAGGGGTCAAAACCACCTAACCAGATGGAGCTAAGAGACGCATAGACTTTAGTAATTCAAACCCATTTAGTTACCTCTTACGATCACGGATCACACATGGAAAAACTAACAGTGTGCCTCAAGCCTTAAAGGCAACCATCAACCACAAGGGTTGCATTTCTACAAGTACCTGTGGCATCATATGCTGCACATGGTAATGTGGACCAGTAAACATTGTATGCATAGTAGTTGCATAAACAATAGGTTGATTGGAACTATTTTCTTATGCTGACAGGGCTGACAGGTAACCATGGTAATTGCAAACAGGGTGGACCGTATAATTTGGAAAATATAAGTGTTATAACTATGGAATTTGTCGGTCTCCTGTCGGTATTTCCCGGACTCTCCCGGTCTTTTTTGACCCGCAAATACTAGAGCCAGGCAAATAGCCGGCAGTCTTGCCTGGTTTTGGATTAGATATCTTATTTGATTTTCATTACAAATAAATAAGGTTAGTTTTCAAAAAATAAATGTTCATCACTTGTTTGGTTGTATAATAAACTAAGTATACAGATCGAATTCTCAATATTATTCTTTATAATACATTAGCATGAAATTCTTATAAAATAATGGAATTTTGAATTTTG